GCACCAGCCTTCAAAATTGGTGTCAGCTTCAAAATTTTGAGCAAGCTCCTCCACTTTTAGCTTTTCTTAAGCATCACAGTGATCCTGTGTGGGTACACAAACTGACAGGAGCTGCTAACGGCTATTTCAGCTACTGTTAATGGGGACAGTTTGGCTATATGTGAACCCAGAGAGCCTAAAACCAGGTCTGTACAGAGAACAGCAGTACCAGCCTGCAGCTGGTGGTTTCCCAAACATGTTGTTGTCAGCATCTGTCAGATTCACAGCAACATTTTTGACTTCCTCCATTTTCCCACAAATGTCAAATTTCACACTGATCCAATAAAATGCAGCAGAATAAAAAACAACTAATAACGGTGATGTTAAAATTACCCCACCTCCTCTACAGACTGAACAAGATTATTTTGTTGTCAATTTTCACTCTCAGTCATTTAAATCCAAGACGAGTTTAAATTAATTGCGACTAGTAAAACCAAAACCATTAACTAGACTACTAAAACCAAAGATAAAATAAAATGAGTTCAAACAACCTGTCTCACCTTAAAGTCTCTCGTAGAAACAGTCCAGCTGGAAAGAAGAGTTGTTTTCTGTCAGACTTCTTCAGAAACAAGAATCTCTGTTTCCTCCTCCCGTCAACATCTGTAAAAACTGTCCAGTCATCATTTCAGAAATACTTCTGGGCCAACGTTTCATAATTTCTCAGATGTTCAGATCTCTGCAGTCGAATATTATTTTCTCTGCTTCCTATGAATCACCCAGAGATTTGCTGAAGACACCAGAACTTCCCTTTTTATTCAGTTCACACTTCCTCAAATGAGTCCAAAAGGTCCACATCAAACTGTGGGAAGTTTACAAACACGAAGATTCAACCTTTAACACACAGGGGGAAAACATGTTTACTCAGAAAAGCTTTTATTGCCAAGTATTCAATTCAATTTCAATTCTATTGATATAGCGTCAAATCACAACAACAGTTTTCTCACAGCGCTTTTCATCAATCAATCAGAGCAGGTCTAGACTCTATGATGTTATTTACAGAAGCCCAACAATTCTTCACCAAGAGATCCTGGCGTAGGTTCCTGGGGAGTGAAGGGCCATGTTTACAGCGTCGGGAGTGAAGGGCCATGTTTACAGCGTCGTCTTTTGGCTCTGTAGACGAACTGCAGGGGGTCCAGGAGTGGCTCTGTGATGGATTATAGGTGGTACAACACAAGGCGCTGAAAGGACTTCTTAACCACAGAGGTCAGGGCAGGGGGGGCGCCAGGAATTTTGGTCCCCATGACAAAAAAAATCAAATTAGACCCCCTCTGCGCAGCTGTTGTCACTACTTCTCTAGGACCTAACTGTCCCATCAAAAGCTTTACATAACTCTAATTAAAGGCTTGCAAGTGTCTGGCTTCTTGTAGTGCAATATTAGTACTAGCACAAGAGGATGCAGGTCACTATTTGCTTCTCAAATAAATTGCCCTTCATGATGGGAATAATAAAGTCTGTATCTATAGATGTCATTTAACGGCCATAATTCAATCTAAATGAACGTATCAAACTGGGTTATTTTAATATAGTCTGTAACTTACATGCAGGCTGAGTTAAGCTGCTGTCCAGCATCCAGTACAGACAGGGAGGTGTTTTTTTATTTTATTTATTTCATAATGATCATTAGGTGGGAAAATAATTTGTGTTTGAATTTCTGTCCTTAAGAAATATTTCATTGTCTTTTTTTTTTGTTATGGTAAAAAGAGCAAGAGTGAGATAGAGAAGAAATCCCTGGAACGACGCTAACTCATTAACACCATGCTGCTCCCCTTCTTCACTGGGACACTGGGCTGCTGACTCACCTGTTGTTAGTCTGCTAAAAGGGGCGAGCACAATGATTTAATATGAATATCTTGGTAAACGTTTCCCTGCGCTGATTAAGTGTTGATGAAATGTTGTCTAACACTAGTCTGCAGCTAGCTAGCTGTGGACATTAAGCCAACAGGTTAACACCTCTCTCAGACTAAACGCTGCCCACCTGTAACTGGGTTACAGATTGACATCCTTTTGTTTGTCTTGCTTGTGATCACTGTGTTTCTGCCGCATCTACTGACTGCATATAAACACCGTGAGTGCACTGAGGCAGGACCAAACGCTTTCATGCAGGTACAGGGGGGTGGTCGGTCAATGTGGAGGTTTACTTTTTGGTCAATGGGGATTTTTTTACTTTTACTGTCAAAAACAAGTAAAAACAAAGCGATCATTCTTTTTATTATTACATTTGGAATATATTTAATGTCTGAACATAGAATATTAAATATTCTAAGTTTCCTGCTTTCATTTTCATTTTCTGCAGCCATGCTAGCAGCTCTGTGGGGCTGTACTGAGGCTTTATGATACATGAAGTTAAAAGAGTAGGCTACTCATTGTGACAGGATGAGGTTTTTCCCTCCCTCTTACCTGTGCAGGGGAAGGCGCACCAGCACACCTGGGGCTCATCCCCTTTGATTGGGAGAGGTGGGGGCTCTATTTAAGCCTGTGACTCGGGTGTGGGCTGGTGTGCTGCACGCCTGTTGCGGCTGCCAGAGGTTGTCAGTTTACTGCGCAGGACGTCTATTTTATTTTATCCTCGTGCCTCTCTGTGTTTGTTTTGCCGTGCGGGTGGTGTCGTCCCACAGAGCAGACTTTGTTCGGCCGTGGACGCTCCCCGTGTGGATAGATGAACACAGCTGGCGTTGGGTGCCTCGGTGAGCTGCATGCCTCCCTGTTCCGACCCATTTGGTGTTTATCAAGGTCAGACCTAGTCTTGTTTGTTATAGCTGGGTGCTGTGGGGTTGCGGGGATTGCGTGCCCCCCTGCCGGGTCTGAGGGTGGCCTGTCCTGTGAAGTGCCTTCTTTGCCTGTTTGCTAAAATTTATTGCGGCCCCGTTTTAATGGTGCGTTTTCAAATCACAGCGGGACCGACCTGCAGCCTTGTGCAAGCTGCTGCCGGGTGCCACTATTATCTGAGGGGTTAACACGCTTTCTCCTCCCTCTCTTGCTGTCCAGGATACCGGTATAGAAACTGGCTGTACACTGATACAGAAAGTGTCTGGATATGTGAGACTGTCCTGGATGCACAGAGCTGGTTTGGACCGATGCGTCTAAGTGTTTCAACATCCAGACATTGGCCTTGTAAATATTGGTATTTACTGGGTACATATTGCATGTGGGTTTTTGTTCTTCTCCTTGTGATTGATTTTGATTCTTTAATTATGTATGTGGCTTTGTTTAGAATTGTTTTTTATTTTGTTTTCTAATAGAGCAGGTGTTGCTATTTTAATATATGACATGATAAATGTATTTTTTTATTTTTTTATAATTTATTGTCTCTGACCCCTAATTTTTGATAAACGGATCTGTGTCCTTTAAAGGTCGTGGGCCTATCCCAAGTGGCTTTGTCAGACATTTTTAGCTTCTTGAGTGTCATAGGCCGCTCGCACTGCCATATCTTAGTTCATTAATTAATCTAAATCTTCACAAAAACTGCTGTGTACGTTACCCACAATGCAACCAGGCCACCACCATTTGTTTGAGAGGGGCGTGTGTTCCGCTAGTAGCGGCTAATGGAGTCTGGTGAACTCACTACTTTCTAACTTTTATATAGCCCCTGTTCCACTGCACAGTACCGACTCGACTCGCCTTTGTTTGGTTTTCCACTGTGGAACAACCCCCAGGACAGAGGGAATAAAGAACTGTGTTGTGTTCTTGATAATTATGGACTGACTCAACATGTGACGAGGCCCACGCACAATAAGGGGCACACTTTGGTCATCTCCAAGGGTCTGGATGATGTTGCTCTCTCTGATCATTCCTGTGTTTTCTTTGAGAGTGCTATCTGCGTGCACACAAATATTAAAATAGAGTTGATCACAAAACGGCATATCACTGAAAACACTAGTGAGAAATTTATTGAGGCTTTCTCCTCAACACCTGCCCTCTCACAGGTCTCAGTCAATGAGCTTGTAGATAATTTCAGTTCTAAAATCACAAATGATATTGATGCCATTGCAGCAGCCAAGGTGAAGGTGGTCTCTGGTAAGAGAAGATCTCCATGGAGAAATGCCACGCTGGTTACAACTCAAAAAAAAGAGTGTCAAAGCTGAACGCAGGTGGCGGAAAACAAATCTCCAGGTTCATTATGACATCTATAAAGAGAAACTTCACATTTATAATTTAGAGCTGAGAAATGCAAGGCGGTCCTTCTTCTCTGACATCATCACCAAAAACACTAATAATGCACGTTTTCTGCTGTCGACAGGATAAACAACCCTCCTGTGTCTGTAGCCTCTGACCTTCTATCCACCAGGGCCTGCAATGAATTTGCTTCCTTCTTCACAGACAAAAGTCAAACAATTAGACAAGCAATCAGTGCCTCCATGTCAGTAACAGGATATGTCTTGTCCGTATGTCCACTGAAAAACAATTCATATAGCATGAGACAATTTGATTCTATTAACCATAAAAACCTGGAGGACATAATATAACATCTGAAATCCTCCTCATGCTGACAACTGCAGTCATTAAGCCACTCTTAAAAAAGAGCAATCTAGATCGGTAACTAATGAGAAAATATAGGAAAGCAAAATCTGTTACTGTAACTATGCAGATGACACAAGCCTGATTAGAGCTGACGGGTTGCTACAAACAGGACAAGCCAAACATCTTCTAGTATTTTCAACCAAGTTCAGACATGGGAGTGGGTTGTTCCACTGATCTACAGGCGGCAGCGCCGCATCAAGAGAGGCAGTGAAGAAGAGCAGCAGTGAAGTAAATATGTGCACAAACAAGGTATTATCCAATTTATATGTATTTCATGTTCTTTGTAAATGTCTCACGAGGATGGAAAAACTTCACGGTGCTTTAAAGTGACTTCCAGCTCACAGTTTATCTGGTTCTCTCAGAGCGTTCAGAGGAGACTCTGTAAAAACCCACTGAACACAAACTCCAATCAGACTTTTACTAATAATTTCAAACTGCTGAGGTTCGTTTCTCATCATTTAATATTCTGGTTACAACATGTGTCGTGAGGACGGTGAGCAGCAGGTGACGCTCTGCCCTCCTTTAAATGGATCTGCGTGACGAGGTCAGAGGTCAGCTCTCAGTGAGGTCATCGTTGAAGTGGAGGAGGATGGCGGGGGTGAAGAGGTCGCGGTCTAGCCGCACCTGTGTGAGCTCGTGGTCGTCGTCGAGGACGTTGTTCTCGCTGAGCGTCTTGCTCATGTCCAGGCTCGCTCCGTCATGTTTCCAGGTGTAGCTGCGGGCGTGGGAGTTGTAGCGCAGGTAGCGCTGTAGGATCTCGTCCAGAGTCTCCTCCGAACACACCTGAGGAAGAGCAGCGGGCCGTTAGTCGTCCCAAAGCTCAGTCTGGTGTACTTTCCCGTATCTACTGTGTACACTGTATGGACAAGAGTACTACCGAATACCTTTGGTAGGGCAGCGTATTCATGGTGTGGAGATCTGAAAGCTACAGCAGACAGTTTAGACAACGGCACATAAAGAAATGGTTTTTAGTTGCGAGTCAGTGTCTGACCACACAGACACTGAACAGGAAACAGAAACGCATCTTGTAGAAAGCCGTCCTAGAGGAGAGGAAGCTAGTTAGAGCTGCAAGGTAGGACCAACTCCACATAAATGGTTCTATAAAGGGATAACATGATTATAAACGGCGATTAAAAGCCGTCTAGCTCGGCGAGATGAAAAGTGGTTGCTAGGTAACAGACATAAAAGTTGATAACTGATGTTGGATTGAGTATATGTATTATATATTCTCAATAAAACAGTTACTGAAACGTGTTTAAATTAGTGGCTTAAACAGACGCTGCTGTTTGGGGCGGAGCCACATGACACCAGCAGGGTGTGTGTGTGGACGACCTGCTGTCACGCCCAACTCCTCACATGGACAAGACCCGCTGGCATCGGCTTGTAACGCACTGCGAAGCCCTGTAGTGTCGCCTTTGAACGCTAAAGTCTGAGTAAAGGGGACACGGGGCGAATATGCTAACTCCGCACAGAAAGGCTGGGGTTTTGAACTGCTGCTGTGAGGCGACAGTGTTGACGTTATTGTACTACTTTCCTAATCCCACTTCGGGCGATTCGTTTAGAGCAACATGTTTGAAAAAGCACATAATGTAAACTCACAGCATACAAGCAGCAGCCAGTGTGTGCACATCTGAAAACCCCTTAAGAGCCTACAGGGAGTTTAAGAGCCTGATCGACGTAGAGATGAAGGATTTGGAGTTCGTTTTGCACGCAGGTGGAGCAGGACGCCGCCCAGACGGCAGAGAACAGAGAAGTCACCTGCCAGGGCACGTCCCAGAGAGGATAAAACACCTGCTGCCTTCTGGGTGATTTGGCGGTTAGAGAGAGCATGAAGGTTTTTACAGCGTTGTTCAGGCTGATCCTGTCTTTAACTGTCAGACTGATAAAAGAAAAGCTAAATAAAAGACTCATTAGACTCATTCAGTTTGCGGAGCAGATGAATTCTCTGCTGCGTCACGATAAGCTCTGTGTTTATATTAATTTAAGATTAAACAGATACGGGACCTTAGAGGAGTGACAACAATATGGATCTTATAATAATGGATATTTATTGTTGCTTGACCTCGAAGCCCTAAACATCAAAATCCGACTCTAAAGAACTTGCAGGGCGTTAAAATTTGACGCCTGGTGGTCTGGACCGACCTGCAGTCGCTGCTCCTGCGACGTCAGCGTGTTGATGACCCGGATCCACCTGGTTTTGGCGGACAGCAGCCCCACCTCGTAGCGTTTGTCCGCCCACCAGGGCTGGCTGACGTCACAGGCCCAGTCGGAGCGAGGGCCAGCGGGGGGCACGTGCACGAAGCGGCCCCTGGGCGTGTAGTACCTCACGCAGTTGGTCAGGGGGTCTACGTATTTCTGGACCTGAGGACAGAGGACAGGTGCACGCAGGTAAACGCAGGGCCGGAGAGCTGCTCACTGATTGGCTGGTTTGCTGGACAAGCGCTCACGTCTTTGGTTTCAGGGTCGAACCAGCTGCTGATGTCCTTTCCTGCAGACTCCATGATGGGCAGCAGGAGGGCGTCCCCTGCAGGGAAACTCACAGGAGGTATTTATCCTCATTTCATTTGAAATACACTTTATGTGTATTTGTACACACATTTGGACCATGAGAGGTGATGCATTAAGGTGTAAGCAGTAGTTTGACGGAGGTGACTTAAAAAATACTGAGTAGTTTCATATTTTATAAACTGGTCATGTTTTTTGTGTCTGATCTTAATCTGAAAGGTAATAAGTAGAATAAGATGTAATTACTAACATAGTAATGATAAAATAAAGTACTTTAAATTGTATTCAAGTAAATGTACTTGGTTACTTTCCTCCACTGCTTCTCTCATCTCACTGTTTTTAAAACTGTAGTTATTTTGATCAGGTTTGGTTGGTGGAATGAAACTGTACATTTACTTTTACTTCTACTCCACATCTCAGAGGGAAATATTGTACTTCACTACATTTATCTGGCAGCGTTAGTAACTTTACAAATTAAGATTTTTTTGACATGAAGAGTTTATAAAACATGATGTCTTGTTATTAAATTAAACCGTTTGTACGAGTACAGCTGAAACTATCAGTCCATTAATCAATTACTGATTGTCAGAATATTAATTTGATGGTTGTTCTCATTACTGGTTTAAAACATTTTATGGTTCCAGCTGATTTTCCTTTAAAGCATTTTAATATTCTTTGTGTTGATTGAAATATGTTGAAAGTTTTCTGGTACACACCAGACTCCACTACTCAAAACATTAATTTTAGTGTTTGTTAATAATGTTGAGGTTTGGACACAACAAGCATTGTGAAGGTGTCACTTTGGGCTCTGTGACGGCATTTCTCACTATTTACAGAATCTTTACGATCAATCGATTAATAGAGAAAATACTCAGCAGATTGATCTATAATTAAAATGATCATTAGCTGTATTTCTACAGTGTGGTATTACTACTTTTACTTCCGTGCTTCCTGCTCACCTTTGTGCTGCTCCATCAGCGGGGTCAGGTCACACACTTTGCCCAGAAACGACACCCACAGGTCGGCGGCGGTGTTGTGAGCGGCCACCTCGGCGGGAGTGAAGTATTTCGGTCTGTCCATCACACGCGGACACCTAGTTCATGTTAAAAGACGCTGAAGCGGACAGAAATACCTTCAGTACACACAATAAAAACTGCAGTTTAATCCGCTGTGAAACAGACAGACGACCCTTCAGTTCAGTCCTGTTGCTGATGCGTTACTGTGGCAACAAGCGGAGGTGGGCGGGGCCGACGACGTCATAAACAAATGTTTATACTATACTGATGTTTATAAATAATAATTATTGATTTAATACTATTTAAAGACTGATTCGTGACTCTTTACTTGAAACATTAATCATATTTATATTTTTATGATGTAAATGTTTTTTTATTATATATGAAGGGAATCACAAAAGACTTAAACATAAATTTAGTCCAAATAATTATTGATTTAATATGACTTTCTGTTGCACATCATACAATATATTCTATATTTAAAGACTGATTCGTGACACTTTACTCCTGAATGTCGTTTCTTGAAAGATTACTTATATTTACTGCCATTCTTCATGGTTATAAACTCAGCCTTAAGAAATACTTTTAAATATATCGGATGGTAATTATCTATTTTTTATTTTGTTGTTTTAAATATTATATTCTACTCAAGAATGTGAGCTGACTGGGGGGGGGGGGGGGGGACGATACAGACAGTTGGGTCACGAGAATGAGACTACAACATGTTTTAACACTAGTTTGAAGAAATATTCAACGATAATAATATCTAATAAGTACAATTTAATTACAAAGTGCTTCAGAGGCCACACGGGGAGAAAAAAGGACACAAAACACCGTCATTAAAGATAAAACACATGAGGACAAAAAATACAAATTATAATCACAAATAAGTAGAACAGATAGGCAATAAAAATAAGACGAGAATCAAGAGCAACTTTCTCTAACTAAAATCTTTAAGATAAAACAGGCAGCTCAGATTAAATCAGGATACGTCTTCTAATGAAAGTGCGTTTTTAAAAGAGATTATGAATTAAACTCTGAAAGCCTTACGTCCTCAGGCAGGTCGTTCCAGGGCCTCGGGGCCCCGACAGCAAAATCTCTGTCCCCTTTAGTTTTAAATCTAGACACAGGAAGAGACAGAAGGTCTCAAACCACACAGAGGTTCATGAAATAGAAGCGCTTAATGAAATATATTTTATAACAAACCACACATCTTTCTTCTTTAGGCTCTTTAAATTGCATTGCATGTTTTCTTGTTGTTCGAGTAAACATTTCTTCAAAGCATTTTCATTTGTTAGTTAACTTGTATTGTTGCTATTTTTCAGAACATTTTTAACAAATGCTTTCAAAAAGTGGTGGGTCCCCGGCGTCCCCACTGTAAATAACACTGTATTTATCTAAATATTTATCTTGTTGTGTCAAATGTATGGTATGCAGAGGAGAAGAAGAAGAAATACATTTAGGACTCTTGTCCTTTTTCTTTTCTTCTTCCTTTCATAAGATGTAATACTTTCGGTTTACACTGTAACCGTAAATCTGAGTGAATAACACTGTTCTGCTCGTTGTTTCCGTAAAATGAACTGAACGATTGAATTGAGAAGAATCTAACTAACAATGTGTCCATAATGACACAAGATTTAACCACTTAATATGCACGATGTAAGCAGCTTGGATCTCGCTCGAGCAGGTGACCCGGTGGGCTTTAAGAGGTTTGCTCTCCAATGAAAGTCTGTAAAAAGCAGAACCAGGTGCCCAAATGAGACCTGCCTTCATGTGACAAAACGTGTAGCCACCCCAGGCCAGTAGAAGAGACGGGGGTCTAATTAAAGTTTTACAGTAAACGCGTCAGTAGTAAGGAAATAATTAATTACAGTTGAGGGCTGATCTTCTGCTACGTTATGAACCATCCAGACCTCGCAGGTGGTCTGGGATCAGGTCTGCTTTCTGCGGTGATGCGTGTAACTAGTTAATGAAGTTTAGTTGTGTAATTTAATTACACAATAAATGTCACTGTTTCAGTTACTGGGGGGGAAAAAACTGTGTAATTAAGTTACAGTTACTTATAAAAATGTTCATGATTACATTTGGGGGTTACATCTGAATATTTTCTGTAAAAAGCTCGGCTACATGTTGAACAATAATCATCTGTTTTCATATGCACAGTGTCTTTATTTCTCGTTTCCAGCCACAGCAGTAAAGTTTGTAAAGTTCTGATTGGTTCATTGTTTGAATCAGCAGCGCCGCCCGTCTGCCAGTCTCTCAAGCTGTCTCTTTAGAAAATGTTTAACAGTTAAAAACAGTCATTGGAAATTTAGAAAAGTTATCAAAAAGTAATTAAATGTAATAATTTACAATTCTTTTGGTAAAGTAATTGAAATAATTTAAAAAGGGTGATTATGTTTCCCAACAAACTAAACCTGGAGAAGCAGCGTTCAGTTTTCACTCCACATACAAACTCCCCGAAATGATTATTTTATGTTTTATCAACACGCACAAATACAATTTTTACTGTTTTATTTACTTATTTAATGAAATTTATATGTAGCTTTGGCAATATTGTTGTCATACATTTATGCCAATAAAGCTAATTTGAATTTGACTGAAGAGTTTTTACCACTGCCTTTAATTAAATCAAATCAGACTATCGGTCAACTTTTTCTTTCCTATTTCAACCTGGTTTTATTTTCCATTTAACTCTTCTTAACAATTGTATTTAAATGTCTTTTTTGTGTTTCCCTATGTTCCTTTTATGTTTAATGTGAAGCACTTTGAATCGCCTTGTTGTTGAAATGTGCTGCACAAATAAACTAGTGAAATAATAATATGACAGTAGAACAAAGTGGTAATATGATGATGTATGTGTTTAGCCTAATGAAGTATTGTCAGTGTGTTCAGCCCCGCCCCCTCCCTCTCTCTCTCCCCACGCTGTCTCTATGTCTCTCTCCCGCTCTCTCAGGAATGCATCAGACGTGGCAAAGATTCACTTTCTCCATTTTTCACGAACTTTCTGCAGCCCGAGGCCACGAAATGAAAAAAAAACCCACAGCCACACTCAGTTTCCATCTGTCCTCCTCTGATTGCTCCGTGTGCCCGTCAATCAACACGGTCGCGCTTCTCATTGGCTGACGCCTGACGGGCGGGCGTTCTCGCGTCTGTTGACATGTTCTTATAATTTCGGAGCGTGAGGTATCGCGATGTTTTAAAGCCTTTCGGGAGGCGGAGAGAGGAGCTGATGGAGTGAAGACGGCGGAGGAGAAAGAGGAGTAAAGTGAAGCTTTTCAGTCTGAGCAGAGCCGCGAGTTCAAACAGCAGCCATGTCGTCTTCTTCTTCTTCGTGTCTTCTCCTCGGCCTGCTGGCTCTCGCCTTCCTCAGGAGCTCCGAGGCCGAACAGCGGAGGCTCTCTGCAGGTAAGGCCGCTCCGGAGGGTCCCCTGCCCGGCCGGGCGGACCACCCTGTCCCGCTGGAGCCGCGGGGCTCCGGCTCTCTTTGCTAACTGTTGCTAACTGTTGCTAAATACACCGTGGTTCACTTTTACACCTCATGAACTGTTTCATCAGAGACATATACTCTAGACTGTGAGATTAAAAGGTGTTAACTCTTAGTTTTAGCTGAACAAGACCCTCCAACTTTTAGCCCGGAGGCTACCGAGTTAGCAACAGATCGACACTGTGGTGTCATTACTGCACAAGTTAGTCTGTTGGTCGTTCAACAAGCTGCACTTCAAGATGTCAGAAGGTCTGAAGTCCACGTGATGGATTTAAACTGGATTATTGGTGAAGCTAGAAGACTATAAATTTAATAGAAAGAGAAGTTAACTTGTGATTTATGAAGCTGCAGGAGAGGTCTGTGAGACTGATCTGGCTCGTTGTGGTCTGTGCAGACCTTCACCTCCCAGAGCCTCAGTCCAGCTGCTCTGAGGGAAGTTTCCAGACTTGTGAATCACACATCTCCAGTCTGGTCTCTTACTGATGTGTTTAAATGTCTTTGCTTGATTTAAACCAAACACAGGTTTCTCTGTCCGTGTCATAACATGTAGAGCTTGTAGGATTCCCTCCACACAGGTCTGACGTCTGCTGATGTTACATTTGGGGGTGACTAACCTGCTTACCGTGTCCGTGGTAATGGTGATACCTGGTGATGTGAAGCGTCCAGTCGTATCAGAGAAACGTCCTCACTGCAGCAGAGTAAATGTGTGTAAAAGTCCTTAAATCAGACGGTAAACTAACAGGAAGGGAAACGCAGGCTCTGACGGGCTCTGACCCTGTGGCTTCGTGTCTGTGATGATGAGCTTTAGATTCGGTTTGGGGGTTTCTTTGAGTAGCTCTGATTCTTGTTTGGACAGCTGTGTGTGTGTTTGTCGGGGGTTTGTTGTCGAACACTCGAGCAGCTGGTCACGACACCACAAACTCAGCAGTCGATACAGATACCAGAGAAATTCCCCAATTCGATTCCAGGGTAAAAAACTCAATCAATGCCATGAACTCCAATATCCACTCCTTTATTAAAAACATCTGGAAGTTACAAAGAGAGGACGTCCAGGACAGATGAGAGGAGGTCTGATATTAACTTTCTTAACAAACTCTCAGGTGTGAAATGTTTCATGGTCTCCATCTATACTGGCAGCTGATCTTTATGACTGTTTGAGGATTGAAACGGATCGTATTGACCTTCCAGACTGACTCCTCCTACAGTAACGGGAGCGTCAGACAGACGTCCAGTTCTTAGAGCTGCAAACTGTATCGCCACGGTTTGGTGATTTTCAGGTGATCGGACTGTGAAGCGTCTGCCTGAACTAGCCCTGCAACAGATCCCAGACTGCTGAAGGAGACGGGAAACTAACTTTCTAACCTCGGTTTCCCCGGTTTCCCCGGAGATCCTTCAGGCACCTAGAAGAACGAGCTTCAGTAAAACTGTCGGTTCTCCTGACATCCCAAACCTGCTGAGCGACGAGGGATAAATCCTCTTCACGTCATGTGTAACTTTATATTCCAGGATCAATAAATGTTATAAAATACTGAAGATCCTGGAAAATCTGCTGAGAAAGTCTGTAGCTATCTAATAATCCTGTGAGTGAAACGCTTAAATTAAATGCACACTGATCCAGAGACAGATCTGTACTCATGTTTGTGTTCAACTGATTAAATGTAATCGCCTCTGAAACTGAAACCGAACTGATCATCGTTAAAGAGAATTGATCTCCTGCAGCAGGAAGAAGA